TGAATTTTTCCAAACATCTTATCTGTTCCAAGATGTGCTCCAATCAGATGGTTGTGCATTAAGTAGAGAATCGGTTCAACTTTATGTTTTTGGATTACTTTAAGTAATTGGTGGGTCTTCTGTTTTCTTCAGTCTTGTTTATAAAGTAAATTATTTTTGATAATATAAAATTTACTTTGAGATTCTAACTGTTTACTTTGACTTCTTGTAAAATTTGTAGGAAAATTTGCTGTTTCCAAAAAGTACTTAAGGTTGTGATAAGTAATAGTTTCTATTTTAACTGAGTTGCTAGGACACTGACTACCTAGACAGAATTTTCTTTAATGTCAGATTTATCTCAATAAAAAGGGGAATTAGATATAATTATAAAAGTGTATAGAGCTCTAGCCTCACTCTATGCAGTCCTAGACATCCATTTACTCTAGGCCCAGGTGAAAACTAAACTAAAAATAAGTATATTATATAAATATATAAACTAATAATGTATCAATATCTAACTAATAAATATAATATTCTAATATAATAAAAATAAATAGGTATAAATGTTCGAAGAATAAAAAAAAATTATGTTTCCAGTATTTCAACCAAGGGCCCTACTGAACTTGGATCCTAGCAGAGAGCTCCCCCTAGCTAGTCTCGAACGTACGACCTCTACAGCCTGGTAATATGCTTTATACTGTTAATCAATACTGAAAACATTACTAAATTTCAATTTTGTACCCTTTTTGGAGATTATTAGGATACTTCGAGTGCTCAATAAAATGTTAGAATTCCATGTGATTTGCAATTATGTGACTTACAAATCTTAACTATTCTAAATTTGTTAAATCAATTTTCAATTGATTTCTAAATTTGGTAAATTAACTTCTTATTAATGTTTAATTTTGTTTCACTATTGTTCATTAAAAATTATAATTTGTTTGTTGCTTCTTTTTTTTTTTTTGTAAAAAATTCAATTTCTCAACATCATCAACAACAACAACTCCAATAATAACAATAATAATGCCTCGCTAAAGTCTTCTAAGAAGTGTTTGTTGTGCTTGTTGCAATGGCAATAATGCCTTGTATGAGGCCTTGGAAGTGGTTCAAAATGAAAACGGGTGGTAAATATTTGCTTTAAACTTTCTTTTCTTCCTTTTCTCCTTTATTTTTTTGTATAAAGCTAATAAAATTTTTATAGCTTGATGTGACTGGTGGCCTCGCAAAGAAGGAGAATCCAGAGTTTAGAAGAAGAGTTAGAAGAGTTAAGGGAAAATGTGGTTGCAAGAGTGCAGGACGGGTAGATGATAGAGCAGTGGTATAATCGGTTGTTGGATGAAAGAAATAGGTTAAGAGCAAGGTTGGCAAATAATAAGGAGGAGTTGAGAAGATTAAGGACAGAAGAAAGAAGAAGAGAAAGGGATAATAATAATAGGGATAGAATGTCTGATATTGGTTTTTAATTTGTTATATATATTATTATTTTTTGGTTTTTTTTTTTTTTCTTTTCTTTTTGTATATATTTTTTTGTTATTTGTTTTTATCTCTTTTTTTTTGTTTTTGTCTATTTTTTTCTTTCTTTTTTATAATAATAAAATATAATATAATATATAAATAAAATAATTAATAATAATAATAAGTCAGATTAACTACTTGCCACCAAACTACATTACATAGATAGTGTTCTGAGTAGTTATTAAATTCTAAATAATATTCTGGGGAAGGGGTTTCTAAAGGAAGGAACCACCAAGATTCATTAACTAATATTAATTCTATATTAAATTCATCAGAGTCATCAAATTCTATATTGCTAAAAGTATCTATTTTTTCATTAGAATCATAGTCGCTTAGCAGATACTGGTTGTCATTTTTTGGTTTTGTGAAAGGATTTTCAATTGGGATGTCATCGATGAGGTTCATTTCAGGTTGGGTTTGATCAGCTTCTTCAATAAGGTCATCCCAGGTATCATGGTTTTCATCATTGAGTGTAGGCCAGTAACATTTGGCAATTTCTTCTAGAGAACATTGTTTAATTGTATGCCATAACCAGAGGTCAATATGACATTTAGAGCATTCATCAGATGGTGAGTAAAGTTTATCTCCACACCAACATTGAGCTAATGGTCCTTTCCAATCCTTAGGCCAGTCTCTTCTATTAGCCTTTTGGGATAGTCAAGTACTAATATGTTCAATATAGAACCAAGTACACTGCATTCCTCCATAATAGATTCCTTCTTGACTAAATTCCACATTTGGATAGGGTTGTAAAGATATAGTAATATATTCAGGTAGGGTTAGTGCAAGGGTTTCTACCATGTCTTGATAATCGAATGGGTCCATTATATTTTGTATATTTGTAGAAGTTTCTTCAACATTTTTTATGGTGTTTATATAAAAGATTTCAACTTCTTTATCTTTAATTCTAGAAACAAGAATCTGTTTTAGAAAGCATCTGATAATAATATTTAAGGAGGTTCTTTTAAGAGTTTCTTATATAGAACAATCTCTTTCATATTGATAACAGGTAGATTGAGAGCGTAGGTGAATATGTCAACACCAGCATTGGGTATTGGGGCCTTTCCAACTAATTGGATATTTATTCTTTCCAGTATCTCTTCTATATTTTTGTGAAAGTTGTTGAATATAACTCTAATTAAATAATGGTCTATTATTACATTTGAAACTATTAGGGAATACTTCAAGTTTGGTATAGGGTTTGGTATCCTGTTCTGCAATAGGAGGTAGGTTTAGTTTCAACTAAGGTTGCAAACATTTTTTAGGGTAGTTACTACCTACAGCACTACGGCTATGATGTAGATGACATACTACCTCAGAGACAGATTGACGTATTGTAAATAACGTGATGTCTGATGTTTGATGTATATACTGTAGAATGCTGTATATGCTGTAGTATGCCATATATGCTGTAGTATGCTGTATATGCTGTAGTATGCCATATATGCCATAGTATGCTGTATATACTGTAGCATGCCGTATATGCTGTAGTATGCTGTATATGCTGTAGTATGCCGTATATGCTGTAGTATGCTGTATATGCTATAATATGCTGTATATACTATAGTATACTAGTATAATATGTAACCATTAACATTTGAGGTAACTCCTGATGTTTGATGTGATACTTGACATTTGACATAACTCTTGACATTTGACGTGGCTCTTGACGTTTGATGTAATAATGCACTTGTGTAATTGGGTCTCTCAATATACTAATTAATAGCTATATCAGATATTGTTAAGGTTGTTAATGGCAATGTTGCTCACTGGAACATTCCGGTGAGAATTACTGGAGCTGGAAGGTTACTGGACTTAACTGGATGAAATTGGGCTTCCAGTGGTTGAATATCACTGGACCATTCCAGTGAAGATTTTTCACTACTAGAATGGAAGTTCCAGTTATGTCTAGTAGCTTCCAGTAACTTCTGATTAGCCAATTCGAATCAACACTGGGTAGCAAACTGGAAATCACTCAGGAAGTTATGGCCATCCAGATAGAGACAGGTAAGTCAAACTGTGGAATTAATTGTGAATTCAATAATATTCTAAATTTTATGTGAATTATACAAGGTCAAAATTTATCATTATGACTCCGATATTTTTTGATAGAAAGCAAAATATTATATGATCTTGATTTTCGAACTTGTTTTGCTGATTTAATTTCTCTGATCTTTATATTCACTGATCAAATCATTGGATTTATATAGTGATGATAAGTATATTGATTTATTTTGCTTTTCAATGTCTTCAATTAATTTACACTCATGAGCTGAATGAAATGATTAATGGAGTCTCTTGCAGTATAGGTGACCCAATTGATTTCGCTTTATTAATAATGCATTTTATTAAAGGGTTATCTATGCTGCAAGAGATCTGATTAATGTGAATAAAATAACTTGTGCATAGTGGTAAATAAGTATTTATATTATAATTATTAATTTGTGGACTAGTTTTGCTGATTTTTATTTCTTCAATTAATAGATGACTTTTCATAAATAAATTAATGTGAATGAAATTTTGCATGTATTAGTAAATAAATATGATATCGAAGAGCTATAGAAAAGCTTATCGAATTTGAAAAATCACTTATATATTTAAATAAGTCATTAAAAATCAACAACACAATGTAATACTGTAATAGATTAAATAGTCTCAGAGTAATTTATTAAGAGATGGGTAAATTAGAGCCAAACCAAGTGGCTTTAAAAGCATTAAGTAATTGTGGATTAACAAAAGATGGATAATTATCGAAACCACTTGCTGAACTAGATAAAATAAATCGAACCAAATAATGTAGTGGCATGAGATAGTTATGGATTAATTTACCAAGAGTAGATAAATCACTTTAATATTTTAACAAGGATATTGGCATTAGAAATCAAATAACTGTGAATTAGCTTATTAAGATATAAGACAAATTTTTTGTAAGCAAAAAAAAATTACTACCCGGATGGGTGGTGCATAAAGGGTTAATCGTTTCATATTCATAAAGTATAATGCCAATTAGATGAATGTCATCCTGTAATGTTCCAGTTGGGATTTCTTACTGGAACTCTGGAAAAATCTGGATGTCCAATAGGATTCTGGAATTCCAGTGCCAATACTGACATTAACTTTCTTTACAATTAAGTGAATATACAAAAACCAATAATTTTATTAGAACAAATCTAATCGTAACAACCTGTTACACATTTATTTATAACAACTTAATTAGTACAGCCAATAAAAACAACTAAAAATTCGTGTAACCCAAACTCTAACTCTAACTACTATTGGCTAATACGATGTACAAAAATATTTTATGCATCATCTGGTTCATGTCCATCCTGCATAATACCATGACAGTTCCATAAATGAGATATTAATTTCAAAATTGACCACCTACAATTTTTAATTGTGTATTACATTTTATACTAGAATCATTTAATACATTACAAGTAACTTCATTATTAGATTTTTCTTTTATAACTTCAACTACTTTCTCTGATTCAAAATATTTCATACCCAGCTTTTTTTTTTTGATCCATCATTGCGACCTAACCTTTCAGAAGTTTCGATTTCATTTTTATCACTTGGGCTATCGGGTCGGTTAGTAAATGATTCATCAAACGATTGGACTGATGAAGAAGATAGTAAATTGCCTTCTTCCATAATAATTTGAGGCTTGACCTTGCTAAAAAAATTTAATAAAAGCAAGATCAAATGTATATATTTGAATATTTATTTAATTAATCACTAAAGATTTAGTTAAGTGAATAATAACTGAAATATAGCACAAATAATGACCATCATTGCATTACAAAAGACCCTTTATATTTTGTTTTTCTATATTAACTCTGCCTCATTTTTATGGGGCCAGTGCATCAATGACATGTATGGAATGATAAGTACGTAATAGCAGAGACAGTGTCTGATCCAAAGTGGATCCCTCTTGCCTGTGATCAATTACAAATTAAATTATTTATGTTGAATTTAATTGTGATGGTTATAATCCCTCACCAGTTTTAATATATGTGTAACATTAACGGTCTCTGCTGTTTATTGTCTCTAATGCAATGCTTTTTTTTAAATACATACGTGCTGTGTTATGAATCATAACACAGTGTGTATGTATTTAAAAAAAAGCATTGCATTATAACTGCATTTGAGACAATATGTAAAAGAATAACAGAATCATGTATGGTATATTTGAGTGCGTGAAAGCTAGAGTTGCAGACATTAGAATATAACATATACTATGATGTATTGACTGACATATTTGATATGACGTATTACCATTATATATAAATTTTATATGATGTAAAAGGTAACGTAAAAAATAACTACCTTTGACTTTTTAAATACCTGCAACTATATTCACAATTATAAGATCATATTCAGAGTTTTCACAATAACAATTTCACATACAACAGTTGTTGCATAATGGCATGCTAAATATAAAAAAAGAACCTTTGTTTTACTTAATTAAAATTGTTTAGTTTATCGATAGTTCAAGTTAGTGAGATAATTGAATTCTGCAAACCTGCATATTACCATTGCAAAGACAATAGTAATATGTGGGATCTATAGAATTCACAGAATTCAATTGTTGCATTTCACAGAATTTTAGCGTATTTGTTATATATGATGATGATATAATAAGAATGGCTGCCATTACGAATATAAAAGTAAAAACAATCTTCAATATTTTTTCTTGATTTATCCCTTAAGTTTTTTAAATATTGTATAATCTATGACCCTTAAGTTTTTAAGTTTTTTTCAATTTATGGCCTACAGAGTTTTCTAAGCCTGCTCTAATGCTATGATAAATTTAAGTTATTTTTATTCTATATTTTTTGTCAACTCAATATATCTATATAAATACTCTACCTATGCTTTCACCTATAATTTAAATAAGGAGATTTAAGTTCTCATAGCTATGATGTTTACCAAAAACGTAATACCCAGATGTTTGCTTTCAATCCTTTCACCAACTCCCACCAGTCAACAGCCATATTGTTCTGAATGCCACACTACTGTTAAAATTAAAAAAGAAAAGGCAAGGAAAAAAACAAGTAAAATAAAGACTAGCAAATGTTATTCATAGTCAAATAATTGAAAGAACAGCATCAATATCGTAGTATATGTCAAATTAAAAGGTGTTCAAATTACTGAATTATTATACGATGCAATTTATTAACACAAAATTATATCTATTCTTATAGACTAAATGTTTTTATATTTCAAATTTAAATTATTGTATATGGGTAAAAGGAATTTGAAATAATGAAAGGATGGAATTGGCTAATTGATGCAGAGAATGCGATAATAAGTCTATTGAAGCGAAGCATATCCAAAATTTTACAATGTATAGGTTGTATTCAAAATTCAATAATGCGATATTTCAATGTGTCTTATTATTAAAAGATTGAAAAAAAAGAAGTAATAGTCAGGGTGTCCGATAAGGAATCAATATAACTATAGATACAGAATAAAAAATCTAATTATTATGAATCATTTGAGGACTGGTACAAATGTTAAAATTTGGATAAAATAGAAACACACATGATATGGCATGTGTATAACATAGATAATCATTAATATTCGTTAAATATTATGATTTTAGTTCAAAGCAATGAATAAGAAAAGTGCGATAGATGAGAAAAGTTCAAAGAAAAGACATAGGTTTCCTCTAGAAGACAATAAAGAATTTGTTTCAGAAGCCAAAGACACCAGAATGCAAGCAGCAACAACCATTACTACAACAACAGATACCTCTAACTCTCAAATTTCAACAGTTACCATTACACAACAATCAAGTTCACAAAATATCTAGCGAAATAGGTGCCCATTTTCTGAAGTATGGGATTACTTTGTTAAAGGAACTGAAAAAAACAACGGACACTATGAGGCAACTTGTAGTTATTGTGGAAAAATATAGGCATGAAGAAAACCAACGCAATTAGAAGCATATTTGGCAAACGAATATGCTGGTTGCCCAGATGATATATCATGTTATTGGTGTGAAAAGGTTGCTGAAAGAGATATAAATTATACACGAAGATCAAAAAAAAGCTGTGTCCTACCAAACTCTATGCCACAAGCAACAATAACATCCCATTATATGTCAGACTGTTCACTATCAAAGACTATTAATAACCATCTTGATCAAAAAATAATCAAAGCCTGAGTAATGATAAGAATTCCTTTTGACATTATCGATAATCTATTTATTCGAGATATGTTTAAGGAATTTAACCCTGCATACAACCCGCCCTCAAGAGCAACTTTGTTCAATCAATTATTCGATGAAGAATTAGCACAAGTAAATAAAGCAATTGATGATGACTTAAGTAAAGCAGTTCATTTGACCTTAGGTTAGTATTAATATGTGATCTTTTAGTATAAACCATTCTATAAAACAGTATTAATTTTTTAATTACTAAGTTTTAAACTCATTAATTTTATTATAAAGCCTTGGACGGCTGGATGTCACCATCAACAGATTCTATTTACAATTACATTATCATGACTGATACTTGAAAAGAATATTTAATCAGATTGAAAAATTATTTTGATCAATCTCTCACCGGTGAATTTTTGGCAAGTAAAATATCAGAGGTTATTGAAAATCTTGGCACAGACAAGTTTGCAGCCGTCGTAACAGACGCTGCATCAAACTGTAATGCCGCATATAAAAAAACACAAGAAATGTATCCACATATCTGGAATGTCTGTTGTGCTGCTCACGCTATCAACCTTATCACAGCTGATTTGGTTGAATTAGAAAGCATAAAAAAATTAATTAATGATTGTGAAAAAATTAATTGTTTTTTTAAAAATTCTCATGCAAGCAATTCATTACTTACAAAAGGACTTGTGGATATGAAAATTAAAGGTGATGGGCTAAAAACATGGGTAAAAACTTGCTGGGGATCCTTATATTTAACCACTGACTCAATGATTCGTGCATGTCCGGTATTTGATTGGGTAAGCCAGTTAATATAATATTATTATAAATTGTGATAGCTTATACTGGGATTTGGGTTTTCTTATTTAAGGCTATAATACTTACTAAAATTTATATACACATAGCTCTTGATATAACAGACTCTTGATATAGTGAAGACTAAGTAAAATCTTGATATAATGGATCAAATTCAGATTCATAACATAATAAATTATACTTAGTATAATGGATTTACTAATAAATTTTACGATATAATAAATTTAGTAAATTTCTTTCTAATTGCCCAAGGTACTACATTATATCAAGAGCCATGTGTATACCGGTATTCTTTTATTATTAAAATAATCACAGCTTAAGCTCTATAGAAATTATTATTATTAAATAAATTTTGTTATTACATAGATGCTTGCTGACCATAGTGAATTAATTACTAATACAGAAGTTAGTAATTTGATATTTAATGAAAGTTTTTTTACTACCTGTCATTTTGTACGCTCAGTGTGGGAACCTATCAAAGAAATTATTCATATGTTAGAAGCTAATAATGCAACATTAGCTGATTGCTTTGTTTATTTGATTAAGTTAGCCACAGCAATTCATAACTTATCTGAAACAAACAGTTTTAAAATTTCAGCCATTTATGTCTTTAATCGACGTTATGAGGAATTTTTGCATCCGTTTTATATTTTAGCCTATTATATTCATCCAGAATATAGAGGTAAGATTTTTTATAATTGTTTGGAGTATGACAGAGAATCTATATTTTATCCAGCTGTTTGAAAATGGTGATTCTGGCTGATATAAATAAATCAACTAAAGTAGTAATTTATTGATTAATTTGAAATCATTATTTAATTTTTTAGGAAAAGGTTTAAAAGACTAGGGGTTCATAAAGCAGCACTTACTTCTCTTGAACTTTGGCAAAATTTTGGCCATACTTGATCAGAAGGTGAAGAATTGATTGCACAATTGCACTGTTTTGAGGCATGTTTGCCACCATTTGACCTTCCCTATGTTGCTAATATGGACACTCCAAAAATTTGATGGGGTTCTTTCAAGAATCAACCTCAACATTTAGCTAAGTTGGCACATAGGATATTTTCAATTAACCCTACACAAGCTGGCTGTGAGAGGAATTTTTCAACATTAAAGTAGATTCTTGGAGAGCGATGAGTAGGCTTGAGTTTAAATAGGCTGGAAGGAATGGCAAAAATTATATTATATTATATGACTAACATTCGATATGAGCTAAGTTTTTTTGGTAAAGAATTGTTAGAAAGTGATCTTCGAGATGCATATAATCTGACATCCATTGGTAATATAATGGATTTTGAGGATAATCAAATGAGAGTTAGCAGTGAAAATTCGTTAGATAGTGTAGTATCCGATCATTCTACAGCTCTATTAATTGAGGATATTGTTGATTTGACAGTTGGAAACAATTCTGAACATTCGACAAAGATGGCCCAAACTATTTCTCTTGCTAATTTGAATTATAACCTCTTGATGTACTAAATGGTTTTTTAGAACGTGAAAATCAAAATAATAGTCAATAAATATGTTGAAATATATAATGCTGATATCATTGTTATAACAAAAAAATTAAAGTTGAAAAAAATAAATGCATGGTATTACCTATCTAAAATCTGCCAATATGGGTGATGCAAGTGAAATCAGAGTCGAGAAGGTTACAAAAAATCTGCTAAATCTGGAAATGCTATTGGAATGTGCATTATTGTTATTGTGGAACAAGATATTCATATATACCAAAACCCGCAAAGGCTGATATGTAGTTCTCCTGAAATTGTGTTGCGATAAAAGAAATTTTATTTCAAGGCACATTTACATAAAGAAAATATATTACAAAATAATTTATGTAATTTTGGTATTAGCTAATATTGCATTTTTGGTATTAGCTAATATTGCATTAAAATTAAATTTTAATAAAATTTAAGTCAACAATGCGTCACTCCAAAAAGTTATTGATACAGTACTTTATTTACTTTAAACTGCAGTTCAATTTGTTTCCAAAACATTACTATATTAAATTAATCATGTCTACAGAAAAAATCATCAACATGCAAAAAAAAAATAAAGTAGATTCTAGTCTTGTAATTCTGATGATAATTTTTTTTGTTTATTCCTCATATTCATGTTATTCGGATATTAGAAATTAGTAAGCCCTAATTATGACATACCTAATACGGTAAGTATATATATGGCATTACAGCATATCTGATATAGCAAGCATATGGTGTTATGGCATACGGCAAGTATACGGCATTGTGGCATACAGCAAGTATACAACATTACAACATACGGCAAAAATACGGCATTACAATATACAGCAAGTATATGGCATTATGGCATATGGCAAGTATATGGCATTACATCATACGGCAAGTATACGGCATTGTGGCATATGGCAAGTATACAACATTACAACATACGGCAAGTATACGGCATTATGACATACAGCAAGTATATGGCATTACAGCATATAGCAAGTATACAGCATTACAGCATATGGCAAGTATACGGCGTTTCAGCATACGACAAATATACGGCATTACGACATACGGCAAATATATGGCATTACAGCATACGGCAAGGCATACAGCAAGTATATGCCATACATCACATGTCAACATATACAACATCATATCAAATGTCATATATATGTCATTGCGTCATATGTTACCTGCTATGGCATTCGTTACCTTCTACGTCTATGTCAAATGTGATGTATATGCTATGACGTTGACATAAAGGTAGTTACCTTTTGTCTACAAAATGTCTACAGTCTTAGTCTCAACATAGTGGCTAATTGTTCAAGTTGTTGGTTCTGATACAAAAGAGATTCTATTCTTGCTAATCTTCTTTGTATAGTGATTTGAAGGATTTCAGTTTCAAAAGGGAATTCATCATCATCTTCTGTTAGAATTATGCTGGCTTCTTGTTCATACATTCTTGATAAAGTATCAGCATTATTATGCTTTCTTCCGGGATGATGAATTATAGCAAAGTTATAGGGTTCTAGTTTCATAACCCATCTAGCTCTTCTTCCTTTAAGCTTGAAAGTTCTTAACCATTGCAAGG